CCCCAAGGGGGTACATTAACACAAACTAATAATGAGTAAGGTAGCTTTGAGGTAGATTGTGAGCACAGATTGAGAGGAGTACGTGCCATCCTGGGATTATTGATCTGCTTTTTATCGAAAAAGCGGAACTTCTCATGAAACTCGGAACTCTCTTAAATGTGGGAGAATAAAAAAGTGAGGCTGAATATTTCTGCTTGTTTTTAATTAAGACACGCAAACATCAAAGTTGCATAGTTGTAGGTGTTCTGTAACTGTGCTACATGTCACCAAAAAATACAATCTGTGTTGAAGTTTCTCAAATCAGGCAAAGGTTTCACAAATCCCAAACATGTTATGCAGTCTACTATTGTTGTAGATGAATCTAGAACAGGTTTGAACAGTGTGGGCGTTGTAGTCTTTGAGCTACAGCTGTTCCAGTGTTGGACAGATGCTGAAAAAATGCATAAATCAGGCTTTGTTGGCGTTTTACAAATCAGGGAAAGGTTTCACAAATTCCACACTGTGTTTTATGTGATCTGCAGTTATAGTAGAATAATCTAGAATAGGTTTAAATAGTGTAGGTGTTGTAGTTTTTGAGCTAGAGCAGATTAAAGATGGTCAGAGTGGAGAAAAATTGGGTGTAAGGGCCCTTTAGCCGTTTCCCAAATGCCTCGTTCACCCACCCTGCTTGCTGGTGGTTATTGGGTCCATAGCACCTGTGCATCGCAGCCCCGCTTCTGTCAGTGAAGAACGGTCTAATAACGCCTCAGGGCAGCACCTTGGTGGGGAGGGGGCTCTAGCCTGCACATATGGGTGCCCTACCAGGGACATGAAGCCACAGACAACAGATGATTGGGCATCGGGGCACTCAAACCCTTCCACAACGTTAAGATGGCCGCCCATGGAAACTACATGGCTGCAGACATTAACATCATATGTATGGGAAATTGACAGGATAGGGGAAAACAGCTGGATAATGGAGTGAAGTAAGGAGAGTTTCCTGCCAAAACTGATATATTTCATAGCCACGTCTCTCATGTTTATAAAATCAAAACGTATGAAAATCGGTTGAAAATTGGGCAAATTAGAGTTGTTTAAATAGTGCATGCACCACTGACATCAGCGTTAGAGGGAGGGCAGCAGTCTGAAGTAAGATGGCCGCAGGCGTAAGGACCTACTTTCTAAGTACATCAGCGTGTGGATTTTACATAAAAGGTCAGAATCAGCGTAGTTAATCGTTCTGTTTTCTTAAACATTGAAGTTTTTGTCACAAACTCAACAAAATAGAGTGGGGGTGACAATTAAGATGTCCTTTCTGTTAATGGTAGGATCTTGTCTCGTTTCTTCCACAGATTGTTCAGAAAAATGTGTATTGATGGGACAGATGACACCGTGGGTGAGACTGGCGAAAAAGTCAAACCTAATGCTGCAAAAGTGGCTAGGATGCTTGAGGAAGAGGAAGATGAAGATGAAGCAAACAAGGCAAGTGATCATTTGTAAATTCCATTGTGATATGAAAGTAGTTTGTAATAATGGTTCATCTGAACACTAACTTCCACTTTGGTAAAAACTTTTATTATGATTTGATATGTTACACACTGATGTTCATTTTAGGTCACCTCCAGATCTTCAACATCTGGAAGTTGGGCCATTTCCAGTCCACCAGCAAAGTAAGACTCTCACTGGCATACGAAGTTTATGAATATGAAGTAACTGGACAATAGAGAGCTCGTCCCCTCAGGACCACCAAATCTAAGTTTTTAGGCTGATTAGTAGGGCTGGGGGTAAACGATTATTTTTGAAACGATTATTTTATCGAATAGTCGACTATTCTAATGACTATTTAGACGATTAATCTAGTAGATTAATAGTATTAATCTATTTTTTCTATTGCACAATTAATAAAAACAAGAAAATCTAAAATAAATTCCTCAAAAAAATTGATAAATTGTAAGAGAATAAACACTACATGCCTTCCATTTTGTGTAACACTGCTTTTATTGTGTTGGTTGGTTATGTTCTGGTGACGTGTAGAACTTGGGAGTGCAGGCTGCTGCCTGAGAGGTGGTTGGAGACGGAGTGTCTCCATGCTGCTTTGTTTTGGTCACTTATGAGCGTGAGGCGGGTGGTGTTACGACCCTTCCTGGGGAGTTGGGCTCGTGTGCAAAAAGGAAGGGACAATAACGGGATTTAAAGTTAAAATGATGATCAGGTTTATTTACAACTACAGAAAAACACAAATCTTTCCATCCACAGGTTGGGAATAATAAAACTAATTCTGCCTGTGGGGAATTAAAACAAAAGTACAAATAAGTAGGGATGTCCCACTGGGCAAAGATCACTGGGTTCTGGACCAAAATAAGGATCTCCAAAGGTCCAAACTCTAAACTGGGTGGTTAAACCAAACTCAAGGTGATATTTTAAACTAAACCGAAAACCCACAACACTCTAAATGTAATAAAAGGGAGATCTGCACCACAAAAACGATGAACTCTAAACCAAAACGCAACAGCTTATCCAAACGCATGAAGCTGTTAGCGAAAATGCTAACAGTAGCTTTACCAACGTTAAGTTCAAGTTACCAAGTTTAAATAAAGACGAGTTTAAATACAGACCAGCGCGGAGGAGAGACTGCTACCACCAAAACAGCTCTCCTAATGTCTGAAAGAAGCTCCTTTATGAAGGGAGAAGCGCTCCCGGTGATTTTCTACATCTGCGGTAGAGACGGAGCAGCGCATCTGACCCCGGAAGTTGTTGTCCGTTGCCCGGAGACAATGGCGGGCAAAACAGGAAAGGAATCTAGTAGCGGACGGACATTGTTCCGCTTCTTCGGTATTTGGTGGAGATGTTAGTGAAGGCGGAGAGGAGGGCAAACTAGAGGAAAAACAGGCCGATTCCACCTCTATTTACAAACTCCTGGGGATGCAACAAGTGGGCGCGGTGCGTCGACTTCCGGATCTGACGTCGACAAATTTTTAGAATCGAGCCGTCGACGTCATCGAGGCTTCACTACAGCTCTACTGATTAGTGTCTCCTAGTGAGAGTTCTATTTGTCTAGTTGATTTTCTCTTATCGGTTCCTCTTTTAAAATTGATCTCGACATCGAGGCCCTATCGGCGCATTAACACTTAACTTTTCTTGTGATCCAGCAGCCTGGTACAACCCCGACCATTTGAGTGGACAGACCCGGCTCGGGCTTGCAGAGCCCTTACTTGCGTGGGGAGCCAGACTGGACTATTCAGAGTACGTCTGGTTCCTGGCTTACCTCTTGCTGGATTGGACCCACCGCCAAACTGGCGGCAATGGTATCGTAGAATTCTGATGCAACGGGTGTGCAGTTTCAGATCCAGAGATGCTGCACGAGCCGGCTTCTGGATTTAGGGATAAAGGTTAAGCCTGAGCTAAGCTGAAGTTCCTTTTATGATAAAGGAACTATCAGTTATGTAATTATCTGAGTAGTTTTGATGGGTAAAATGATTCGCAGGAGACGAGGTGTGTCTTTTGGGTTCTAATAAAACGACCCTTTGAATAAATCAAGAAATTTTAACACAGTAAGATCAGCCAAAAGGCCACGGTCAAGAAAAACAGTAAATCCATACAAAATATTTTTGTAAGTTTTGCTATTTTATGATTTTTTTTTGGTTAATAAGGTATACACTTCTAGTTAAGCATTAAACATTAACACGTCTATTGAACTAAAGTTTAAGCAAAATATGAGATTATTAAATCAAGAAATATAAACTGATAGAATGTAAAATTAAAGATGCAATTGAAAATCAAGCAATCAGAATGTTGAGCAATTCCAGCTCAAAGTACAGAAGATTAAAACATAAGTAAGATTAAACTTAAAGGTTCATATAAAAGGAATGTCAAACAATTAAGATTAACAAGTAAGACAAATGTAAGTGATGGGTAACTAAACCCTTTTAAAAATAGGTAAAATTATTGTTTGAATTTACGCAAATTTTAACAATTTACATCTACTATAGTTTGATGGAGGAAATCCCCCGATGAGCCTTCAAGCGCTGCTGAGTTTCTTGTCTACCAGTTTTAGTCAGCACCTCATGCGCTGCCACTTCTTAAGTTTTGACCTCTGTCCTGTCATTCATTCATATACATACGGATATGCATACAATTGAATGCAATGCGTAAGGCACTGATCCTTTACACCGTCTTAGTGCGGCCCGTGTCCACAATGCTCATTACAGATTTGATAAAAATGGATCGCATGGTGACGCACTCGTTCTATGCACTCCAAAGGTTCTGCATCTCCTGCATGCTTCTAGCAGGGAGACCCGGGTTCAGCACCTGGTCCCATCGAACATTATGTCTACTGTTTGTCCATCGCGGTTTCCTGTATGCACTAAGAGGGCCAGGGGAGCGTTCCTCAGGCGGCCCTCGCCACAGAATACACGAGTGCAGAAGTGTTATCAAATAAGTCTTATGTGCACATTTAAATTAGCTCCTTTTTTCCTTTAGGGATTCTGCTGAGTCATCAGGAAACATTCAAAGACTGTTTTCTGATTCAGTGGGCTCCACCAAGCCACAGGTAGGTTTCTTCAAAGTTTGTGTTGTACGTGAAGTTGTCATTTTTGTTGATGATTGAATGAATGTAGGGTACTTTGTGAGTTGATATTGATAAAACAGACTTATTAAAGAGTATAAATTATTCCTTGCTAGGCCTATTGAACTAGACCAAATTCTTGATTTGGAAAGTTTGGTCTAGGAACGCTCCATTGGAACCTCCGCAGCCCCTAGCAGCATTTCGGCTGCCAGCCAATCACAGCTCTCTATAGGGGTTTCAAACTGATAAGGTAGTGGGCAAATCACTGTGCTCTATCGGCTTTGTGGGCCAATCACGGCCCTCTATTCATCTGGTGGGCGGGATGATGCAACAGAGTGGAACAAGATGGCGAAAGCTCGTTTGAATTGGCTTTTATATCAATTTGGACCATTTGTTCTTGGGCTTCATTAGAATCCGGAGCAGATAGATGTATTTAAGTCCTTTATTTAGAAAAAGGATGTTTTTTGCCTTCTTCAACAGCAGACTGCCTCGTTTACACACTCCGTTGCGGCGAGTACGTCACATTGTTCATTGTCCAGTAGCATGCAGAGATCGTTTTAAAGACAACAGTAGAACCCGCCCCACGACGAGGGCCGTCAATGGAGCGTTTCTAGACTGAATAATATATTTATTCTGGCTTGCCAGACTAATTCCTTGCTTCATTCTAAATTCACGAACGTCGTTTTTGAAAGTGTGTTTAGTGCATTTCTCACTTGAGTCAAAATCAAGTTCACTTTATGTTGTAATTAAAGTAAATAAATTAATAAGTAATGATGAATAAAAATATACTGGATATTTTAGAGAGAAGCATCAATGGAAAATATCTCGTATTTAGTCTCTCGATGTCATGACTTCTGAGGATTTTAAATGAATACATGTCTTCTTTTTTTTTTCGCCCTCCCGGTTCTTCAACCTAGTCAAGGTAAATGGAAACATCACACTACAGACGTAAGATTTATGAACGTTGGTGTTTGTTGCATTGTGCCATTCTAATGAAATTTGTAAATGTTTTGCAGATACAAGAACATTAAACCTCTGGGAAACGGCCAGTTTGGTCGAGTTATCCTGGTAAAGGATACGCTTATGAACATGGAATGTGCCGTAAAGATAGTTACTGCCCAAAAGTAAGTTACCTAAACGATGTTCGACTAAGCAATGTCACATGACCAACAATTTCATTACTTTACCTTTTTCTTGTTTTTGTTTTTTAGGAATGCGTTGAAAGAGGCAAAGGCGTTATCAAATCTCTCTCACCCAAACATTGTGAGATACTACGATTGTTGGATACAGGATTCAAATTCCAAGGACATCAATGACCGCTCCCTTTCCTGGGGTGATTTCAGGTCGTCTAAGTAGGTTTACAGTCTATTGAAGTGTGTTTCTGTGAGGAGATTATAAACAATTAATATCTTCCCTGTTGCAAATAAATCTTTAAAAATCATTTCAGTTTGTCTAGATACATTTTACACATTTTTGTTTGCCTTATTACCTGTTACTATATTACTGTCTAGACTATTTTGAACATACTGATCTTTTATTTAGATTTTGTTATTAACCAAGAGACCTGCAAAACAAGACTCTCTAAAAGATCGGATCTGTAGTGTTGATGTGTTCCATTTATAAAATAACAGCCATGCTACCATTGTCTCATCTTCTGTAGATCACCTCTGAATCTGTACATCAAAATGGAATTTTGTGAAAATGGAAATCTTAAAGACTGGATAGAAAAAATGAACAACAGCAACCTGGGATGTTCGGAGAGAATAAAGCAAAGTCATCTCATTATAAAGCAAATTGTCAGTGCACTTGAACACATGCACTGTAAAGACCTCTTCCATCGAGACCTCAAGGTGAGCCTTGATTAGAAAGTGTCACTTGTTAGTTCCTAAAATGTGCTACTGTTATACAAATTGCATTTGTAGAAGTAGGGTTCTGTGTAGGACTTTAAGGTGCAATAGAGGTTTCTCTGCAGCAGTTTTTGCCACATTGATGAAAACCAATACATGCCGCACACAGACAGCTGGTGTGATCAGCTCTGAAAAGCACTGATCACAATTTACAGATCACGTTTATTTTTCACGGAGATCGGCCGCGGATTCCTCTTTCAGTCGGCGTTCTAGGAATCGAAACTAGGAATCGAAATAAAAAACTTTGAACGATTCCGGGAAAAATAAACAGTTGGAGCCGGTTCCGATCGATGCTCGATGCCCAACCCTACCATCATATCCAGAATCATCCAGCTGTTTTCATTTAAAACTCTCAGGATGATCATGTCCAGGGGTCTCATTTATCAAACATGGCGTAGAATCCTTACTAAAACCGTACTTAAGCTCAGCAAAAAAAAAAGTACTTACACCCATCAGGTGTGTGATCTATCAAACATGGAGGACACACAGCTGCACACAATCTCCGCTTCATAAATCAGAAACTATCTCGACAGGTTCTCAGCTGCTTTTTAGTCACACCCCGCCCTCACCACGCCCACTTACTGCCATAAATAGTCAATGCAAAGAGCCTTGTGGATCTCATGCATATACATAAGCCAGCCGTTGCAGCGCTCCACCAATGACATGGCGACCGTAGATCAAGGCAGATCAAGGAAGCAGAAGTTGAGGTACCTGTGGGTGAGGTGGAGAAATGAAAGGAAGTGCTTTTGCAAAACAAATAAGAGAAAATCCACGGAGTGGCACAGCGTTGCTGAAGCCGTCAATGTTGTGAGTTCTTCAGAGAGATCTGTGGCGGATATAAAAAAATGGTCCAATCAGGATTCGTTCCCCAGACTCCCGGGTGAAAGTGACACGCGTTAACCAGTCACCCAAACAGAGATCTGCCCTGTACAAGTAGCCAGGGTGCATGATCGATCGGGTCACAGTGACAGGACACACACTGTCACACACGCATGATGTTCTGTCTCAATCTGTCCCCCTGCTGATATTCTGTATTCTGCTCTTCAGGCTGTGTGTGTGTGTGCGTGCGGGGGGTCTTGTTCTGTGTGAAAACGAAGCAGTACAAGTGATGATGCTGCAGGATTTCATAACTGTATCTTCTCAGCAGCAGCACTGCAGGTGCTCTCCATGTCCAGCATGTCGGTAAGCCAGGTCCTTAGTCAACTTAAAGCTGTGCACATTTTTCCGCTAAGTTTTCTTTCATAAATCCCAAAGTTGGCATGGAAAGTTGCTTACGCAGTTTTCCGACCCCGTTTTGTGTGTAAGCTAGCTTGATGAATGAGGCCCCTGGATGACTGAGAACTACACCTCCATGCTGCAGCAGCATTCAGTCAGAACAGAAAGTGAAACTTAAATGTAGCTGCTGTCAGTAACAACAGATTTTAAACATTAAAACTGAACAGAAATAGTTCAGAGAGGAAATGAAATTGTTCACAACTTTGTGTGTGATTAATTATTATTATTATAATAATAATAATTATTATTATTATTTATTGTGGCAGAAGCTGGTGTGGTCCACCACAGAGAAGCTGCTCTAGCATGATGACTTTAATTATTCTACAGGTTATTGTTCAGCCTTCTGACACACACACACACACACACACACACACACACACACACACACACACACACACACACACACACACACACAGACACAGACACAGACACACACACACACACGAGTGTTGGTGAGCTCCTGCGTCTGACTGCTGACTTTTATTTCTGCAGTGAGACAAACTCGCCTCACACCGTCCAGAGTTTGTTCTTTAAAGCTTCTATTAAATCCACCGTGTTGACGTATCTGACAAGTTTCCTCTGCAGGAGTTAAAGTTTACATCACGAAGTAAAGGTTCGGCAGACGCCTTTGTTTATGTTTGGCAGCTGCGTGCCGGTGGGGGGAGGGGGGGCTCGTGCTGCACACAGACAGCTGCTGTGATAAGCTCTGAAAAGCGCCGATCACAATTTGCAGATCACGTTTATTTTTCACAGAGATCAGCCGCGGATTCCTCATCCGGTCGGCATTCTAGGAATCAAAACCAGGAATCGAAATAAGAAACTTTGAACAATTTCGTGAAAAACTAACAGTTGGTCCCGGTTCCAATCGGTGCTCCATGCCCAACCCTAGTAATCAGCCCTCTCCAAAAAAACTGCAACCAGAGGACTGAGGGGTCCATGAATCGAAAGGAGAGAAAGACAGACAGGAAACTGAATGTAAATATAATTAAATAGGCATTTTGAGCAGACCACAGTGTGGTGTGACCGCCACCATTAGATGCATTCAACATGTGGAGAGAGTCCACACACATGGCGTTGTGCAGTTTGCTTTCACAGAATGCTTTTCAAAGCAACTATTATCTTACCTAGCAGGACATAGGCCCATCTTCTGCAGACTTACAGCAGATTATCCTTAATTACTCCACACAACCCCTCTTTACAGAAATATTGTATACATATTTTCTTAATTTAAAACAAATGGGTTGCTGTGATAGTTTATAGTTTGTACAAAGAAAGTAAATTTATGAATGTATTTATTTTCCAACTGTAACATTCACATTGCACAGCATTCAAAATTTGATGCATAATTTACTGGTTTTTGCTTTTTAAACATCAGCCTAGCAATATCTTGGTAAATAAAGACCAAACCGTGAAGATAGGAGACTTTGGTCTTGCCGCTATGATGGTTGATATCAATGGTGAGAACCACGTGGAGAGATCTGCAGGAGTAGGAACCACACCTTACATGGCTCCTGAACAAGTAAGTGATTGTCTTCTTAATACTTGACATGGCTGTTGACCCTCCTTCTGATTTATAAAACTTTTATTTTCTGCCTTAAGAGGTCGAAGCCAACTTACTTGTGTTTGTATACCAAGCAGCACATTTCAGATTTTCAGATATACCCTTTGGACTTTATCCAAAGTTTCCATCTTTGTTAATCCTATTCATAGTGGTGGTTTCAGTGTTGACATTAGTTTTGAATTAAAGATTTTTATTTTCACAACAACAGAAGTTATGAAGCTTCCTTTATCTCTTTAACATGTCTTTGTTAATTTCATTACTTTTCTCAGTACGGTACAAACTACAACCACAAAGTGGACTTGTTCCCCGTGGGGTTGATATGGTTCGAGTGCCTTTGGAGAGTCTCAACTGGCCATGAAAGAGTCGTGGTGAGTAATCAGCTGCGTTTCTACTATCAGGGTAAATTTACAGGAACTTCCCTCCACTTTACCGGGCCAGCCAAGCGGCCATTTTCAGGAACTTTCTGAGCACCGGATCATGGGTCGATACTCTGAATGGCTCAGTGGAGTTGCTGAACATAACTTTTGGTTGACTTGCGCTGATTTAGTTGTAACTTAGTAGGAAATGACATCAGCAGACTCCGTTAAAAACAACAAGCATTAGGAAAATCAAGAGTTGCTTGTGAAGTAGAATGGAAGTGTTGTGGAATTTTTAGACTTAAAAAAATAAAGAGAAAGCTGTATGATTCAATCAAAAGGGTTTAATTTCAATATTGCAATATCGAAAAGAGACTGTCGCAGAGGCTCTTCCCAAAGCAGGCACACGAGTGAGTCCTGCTCAGCAGAGGCCCCCCTCACTCTGTTGTAGCGTATCAAAAGGTCACGTATTTCATCAGAATGACCAAAAGTTAACTTTTAACTTGCAGGCCCAAACTGGTTCTCACATCCGGCGCCACATCCTAACTGCCTGGTCTCCAAACCAGGAAAGCACTGCTCTACGACCTTCTTACCATATAAGGGAGCCATAGCATTCTTTCTCCGAGCTTCCTTATTTTAACTGGAGACGCAAGGTTTCATGCAGAAGACGAGACTTTTACTCTTTGAATAAAGCTCATCTTTCTTGACGTAACACTCACGAGGCTTTGCTGTCTCACAGAGCGCCATAAAAAACTTGAGTTTCTTCTGGTCATTGAACGCTACATTTTACGTCACGCAGCTGCTCCCGTGCTCTTAATGGATTGAATAGATTAAATTATGACATACTTCAACAGAATAACATGTTTTAATGTTATTTATGTTACGGTGGAATCTAAATGGCGATGATCAGTGACATCACTCAGTGCTGAAGCAGTCGCCATATGCTGACGTCTGGGCAAAGTCCTGAAAGGAGCTGAGACCACCGGGACATCGCATCTCCGGCTCAATTTCCCCGATACCGGTATTTACCCTGAACTTCCAATAATGGAAACACCAATTCATAAAGGCAGCGTTGAGTGTCAGTATTAACATTTTTCAATTCAATTTAAAAAAAACTTTAATCATCCCTGAAGGGCAATTGTTTCAGTACAGACGATTCCAAGATCAGACATACATAGACACATGGCAAGAACTGGTGACGGTCATTTGCAACACGAGTCGCGCCACCGTTATAGATCAAGAGGCTTTATACGAGGATAGTCAGGGGAGGGGAAAAAAGGCACTTCAGAGTTACCCTCAACAGAGAGGGTAGCTTTGCTATGCAAAACACTTTCAACACAAGAAAATCTCTCATGCTAAGTTAAATTCATGATGCATCCTTATCTCTTGCACCCTCTAGTCAGAATTACACTCCTGCTATTTGTCCCTTGCTGCTCTTCGTAGCTGTTTGCCGACTACGCAGGGGAGGGGTTTGTCATACCAAAGCTCCGGTCGGCAGCCACGGTGAAAAGGCTCGCTAAAACATACACGAATGTCCCCAATTAATAAAAGCCAAATGCAAAGTTTAGAGCAGAACATTGACCCAGAGGTTCCCTGATCGAGCAGACTCGTGAGAATACACGTAATGACCGTTTAAAGACAAAGCAAGCTAGTGGCTAATGCTAGCGGTTATAAACGTGTATGGTGTGCCTCTTCAAATATTCAAAATCGGTTATGTCTGCATCTTAAATACATCAATTATTAAATTATTTACCTCCGCTCTACCGAGCACCCCATCCAAACAAACCAACAAGCTGCCTTAAACGTGCTCTCATTGTGCTATAGAAATTAAGATGATGATGATTGGTTCATTGGTGTGTTTGTCATGCCAACAGAAGCAGACTAGCAAATAGCAAAACTCGGATGAGAAAAAATGTGTGCCAGACAGACGCGTCCAGAAATAATGGCACGGTTCTCATGATCTCCGAGCTTTGGAAAGATCGTCATCACTTTATAATCCTTAACGATCTTATTTTGTCAGATCGCACAGCGAGGGACTTTTTGATCTCGAGTCGAGCGAGGAGCACAGCAGAGAAGCTGAGATTCTCCCTGTGTGCACTGGAGTGCAGCAGTTGTCGCAAGTAAACCTTTCCATGCCGCCGATGCTACCAGTGGGGCTAACTTTACAGATGCAGCAGCACTACAGGTGTTTTGTAGAAAGAAGTGACCTAGCTGCTGGCCGTCAGGATCCATGCCATCCCTGCTGCAGGAATGCGCATGGCTTAAAACAGCCACACACTGAGTAAACGACTTGAAATATTCTAACTAGAGGGTGCAAGAGATAAGGATGCATCATGAATTTATCTTAGCATAAGAGATTTTTTTTGTGTTGAAAAAGTTTTTTGGCATAGCAAAGCTATTCTCTCTGTCGGGGGTAACTCTGAAGTGCCTTTTTTCGCTCCCCCTGACTCTATCCTCATATAAACCCTCTTGATCTATAACGGTGGCGTGACTCGTGTTGCAAATGACCACAGTCACCATTTCTTGTCATGTCTATGCATTAGGGATGGGCAATATGGCCCAAAATTTTTATCATGATAATTTTAGGTATTTATTACGATAACGAAGTGAAACCTGATAACATAATATCCTTGTTAATGTTACCTGATAAAGTATAAACTTTAGTGTGAAACAATGTTAATGACATACTGTTAGAATGCAAACATAATACTTGGGTAGCTAAGTTGTCAACACCTTTTCCCATGGAACAATACATAAAGATGGTGCAAACACTGTATTGAAAAGTAAATATCCCAGGTGTCTTCAGACAGTTTACAAAATAATGCTAAATAAGACAATAAATAATAACAAATCAATAAATTAAAAAAAATAACAGTGTATTAAACTGTAAACACTAATATACAGGTGCTGGCCAGTAAATTAGAATATCATCAAAAGGTTGAAAATATTTCAGTAATTCCATTCAAAACGTGAAACTTGTACATTATATTCATGCAATGCACACAGACCAATGTATTTCCAATGTTCATTACATTTAAATTTGATATTCATAAGTGACAACTAATGAAAACTCCAAATTTGGTATCTCAAAAAATTAGAATATTCTGAAAAGGCTGAATATAGAAGACACCTGCTGCCACTCTAATCAGCTGATTTACTCAAAACACCTGCAAAGGCCTTTAAAAGGTCCCTCAGTCTTGTTTTGAAGGCACCACAATCATGGGGAAGACTTCTGACTTAACAGCTGTCCAAAAGACAATCATTGACACCTTGCACAAGGAGGGCAAGACACAAAAGGTGATTGCTAAAGAAGCTGGCTGTTCGCAGAGCTCTGTGTCCAAGCACATTAACAGACAGGCGAAGGGACGGAAAAAATGTGGTAGAAAAAAGTGTACAAGCTCTAGGGATAACCGCACCCTGCAGAGAATTGTGACGACAAACCCATTCAAAAATGTGGGGGAGATCCACAAAGAGTGGACTGCAGCTGGAGTCAGCGCTTCAAGAACCACCACGAGGAGACTCATGAAAGACATGGGATTCAGGTGTCGCATTCCGTGTGTCAAGCCACTCTTGAACAAGAAACAGCGCAAGAAGCGTCTCGCCTGGGCCAAGGACAAAAAGGACTGGACTGATGCTGAGTGGTCCAAAGTTATGTTTTCTGATGAAAGCAAGTTCTGCATTTCCTTTGGAAATCAAGGACCCAGAGTCTGGAGGAAGAGCGGAGAAGCACAGAATCCACGTTGCATGAGGTCCAGTGTAAAGTTTCCACCGTCAGTGATGGTGTGGGGTGCCATGTCATCTGCCGGTGTTGGCCCACTCTGTTTCCTGAGGTCCAGGGTCAATGCAGCCGTCTACCAGGAAGTTTTAGAGCACTTCATGCTTCCTGCTGCTGACCAACTTTATGGGGATGCAGACTTCACCTTTCAACAGGACTTGGCACCTGCACACAGTGCCAAAACCACCAGCACCTGGTTCAAGGACCATGGTATCCCTGTCCTTGATTGGCCAGCAAACTCGCCTGACCTTAACCCCATAGAAAATCTATGGGGTATTGTGAAGCGGAGGATGCAATACGCTAGACCCAACAATGCAGAGGAGCTGAAGACGACTATCAGAGCAACCTGGGCTCTCATAACACCTGAGCAGTGCCACAGACTGATCGAGTCCATGCCACGCCGCATTACTGCAGTTATTGAGGCAAAAGGAGCCCCGACTAAGTATTGAGTGCTATACATGCACATTCTTTTCATGTTCATTCTTTTCAGTTGGCCAACATTAGAGAAACAAACATTTTTTCATTGGCCTTTAGAATATTCTAATTTTCTGAGATACCAGATTTGATGTTTTCATTGGTTGTCACCTATAAATATCAAATTTAAATGTAATGAACATTGGAAATACATTGGTCTGTGTGCATTGCATGACTATAATGTACAAGTTTCACGTTTTGAATGGAATTACTGAAATATTTTCAACCTTTTGATGATATTCTAATTTACTGGCCAGCACCTGTACTCTTGTAAAATGTAGAAATGAGGCTGACACAAACATGTCTGAAGTGCAACTTGTATAACACACATACTAGTGTGATTTGGTAGCTTTTAAATGATAAATGACCCGCGCTTGTATAGCGCCTCTCAGAGTAAGGACTCCAAAGCGCTTTACACTACAGTGTATCATTCACCCATTCACACACACATTCACACATTGATGGTGATGAGCTACGATGTAGCCACAGCTGCCCTGGGGCGCACTGACAGAGGCGAGGCTGCCGAGCACCGGCGCCACCGGTCCCTCCGACCACCACCAGCAGGCAAGGTGGGTTAAGTGTCTTGCCCAAGGACACGACAGCAGAACACTACACTGTCACTACATTTCCAGCAGCGCTGAACACCCTTTGTGCGTGTGTACTAGTGGCAGGGATGCACAAGTAGAAGAAGAAGAAAGTATCATTTCTATAGCGCCTCTCAAGATAAAAATCACGAGGCGCTTCACAAAAACAAAAAATGTAAAAATATAAAAAAGCATTTAGAAAATGTTTAAAAATATATTTAAAATGAGCAAAAATAGACATTTGTGATTAAAAAATGTTAAGAAAGAGAGAGAGTGAACAGGAAAGAGGGAAACCAGTGGATCCTGAGGAAGGTGGAATAGGTGGGGAGAGCAGAATAAAGAGAGAGAGGTGAAGAAGGTCATACAAAAGCCAGCTTGAACAGGTGAGTCTTCAGCTGCTTTTTAAAGGAGACCACTGAGTCCACTGATCTCAGGCTCAGGGGGAGAGAGGTCCAGAGTCTGGGGGCCACAGCAGCAGATGATCTGTCACCTTTGACCTTCAGCCTGGTGCTGCACAACCAGTAGGCTTTGATCACTGGACCTCAGGGACCTGCTGGGGGTGTAGGGACTAAGAAGATCACCAATGTAAGATGGTGCTTGTCCATGTAAGGCCCTATAGACCAGAACCAGGATCTGGAAATGAACCCTGAAGTTGACTGGCAGCCAGTGAAGCTGGAGGAGAAGCGGGGTGATGAAGTACTTTTTGGCTGAATAACCGATGTTAGGGAATTTCACCTCATGTACCTTCCACCACGCGTGGGGATTGCTTTCACCATCTGCAAGTGGCCCATGCAGGTAGCTGTTTAATTCAGCCTCAGTTTTCTCTGCTTCAGAAAGTGTGTTCTGCTCTCAGCTGGTTTCTTGAAAAAACCTCCAAGACACTTCTTCTGTCTTTTACACACATTCTCAGCTTCTTTTGATGATTCAGGTGACATTACCTGGGTGGCAGGGCCAGCTTCATTTGGCATGACAGAAGGGGATTCCACCTCTCTGACCACTCTGGCTTTGATGACCAGGATCTCTTCTTGGCTCATATACTGAGTGCGGAAGCGTGGATCAACAATCGTTGCCATGTTGATCAGTTCCTGAACTTCATGGTCACCGTACTTGGTGTTCATGTAGTCCAGTATTGATCTTGTTATTGTCTTTGTGAGATCTGTGTCTTCTTCTTTCCCTTGCAGCAGCTCACTGTTGAACAGGTGAAGGGTAGGCTTCAAGCATGACACCGTGACAAAGTTTTCAGAAGAAAGGGCATCTGTAAATTCAAGAAGAGGCCCTAGGGCTTTGCTGACAGAATCTAAAATGACAATATCCTGCCAAGTAGGCACCAGATGCCTGGTAGATCTGTCAGCACCAGGATTTGCGAAATGGCTTTTTCTTGCTCAAGGATCCGCTGGATCATCTTTTGCCTTGATCCCCATCGTGTTGGCGATTCAGTCACAAGTTTGTGTGGTGGAAGGCCAAGTTCTTCTTGTGCATTTTTGAGTGCTCGCTGCTTTTTCCAGCTGTGCGAAAAAACACTCACGATCTTCTTGTGTCCCTCATGCTTCTCTCTATAAAACAACAAAGAAACAAACAAAACAAAAGAAATATTAAGAAAAAAGTTAAAGTTAGTTTAAATTAAAATAGATGTAACAAAAATGTTTTAAAAATTGCATTTAATATTCAATCTTAATGCATATAATATGAAGTTTATATGTGCATTTAAAATTAAAGGTTAATTTATTCAAGCCTTCACACCAGTAGTCGGTTTGGGTTCAACATTCGGCTGAGACAAGGTTCTTGAAATAGTAAATGTGGATATCAATAAAAAATAAATACTCAAGTTTTCAAAAAATGTTAACTGCTGCATAATCATAGCATTATACATGAGAAAGGTCAAATGGCTTAGTTTGGCAGTGGCACTGCCATTTTAGAGACTTGGCCTGAACTTAATACATAAAAACCTGATATTGTCTCTGAAATTGTTGATCCTCAGTTTATTAGAATTGAAATGTGTAAGTCACGATGAGCAAGCCTCCTAAAAAGAAGCTCAGGGAAATTGCATTATATATTTCCATTAGCTCATGTCTACTATAAACATTAGCTAAAAGAAATGATTACTGTTCAAAACACTGCCTATTGCCTTGTCACATTACTAATCCAGAATACAATTCATAAACAGTTAATATTAAGCTCATGTTTGCTCAGTGTGCATGCATTAAATATAGAATAAAGTTACCAATAGCAATGTGTAGACCCTCTGCTCCTTCTTTCAGTCCGAACAGTTTCGTTTGGTTTCACCCATGTCCTTCTCCAATGTCGAGATGGAGTCCGCCAGCTCCCCCAGTTGATTGTTGATTCTGTCCAGTTTGGACCTGAATTCGGAGCGGAAAGCTTTCAGCTCTTTTAGCACCTCGGCTACATCCGCCATTTTGTTATCTTCGATGTTGTCAGCCGATAGGCCTCCCTTCCCACTTCTCAGGCTTGTCTGGCGAGCTGTGGTGAAAAGATCACACTCCTTTGTTGCCGGGGGTTTTGGCATGCTCCTAGGTCACTGCTAGTCTGGTTTTTAGGATTGAAAGTAGGATTTTATGTGCGGCGTTCTGGAGCTCCCACGCTCAGCGGCCATCTCGTATGGGCTCTCTAGCGCCTCCAGAAACTCAGTTTTTTATGTGAGACAGCAAAGCCTCGTGAGTGTTACGTCAAGAAAGATGAGCTTTATTCAAAGAGTAAAAGTCTCGTCTTCTGCATGAAACCTTGCGTCTCCAGTTAAAATAAGGAAGCTCGGAGAAAGAATGCTATGGCTTCCTTATATGGTAAGAAGGTCGTAGAGCAGTGCTTTCCAGGTTTGGAGACCAGGCAGTTAGGATGTGTGAACCAGTTTGGGCCTGCAAGTTAAAAGTTAACCTTTGGTCATTCTGATGAAATACGTGGCCTTTTGGTATAAAAATATTAATATTTTACATTAGTTTTATTTTCTAAATTTTTATATTTGAGAAAATCTTGTTGGAGAATTTACTGCACATAAACTTTAATTTTAAATGACATTAAAGCGGTACCTATTTACACAAAACAAAGACATTTTCTTCCCTAACCCTCATGACATTCAACACAAGTTGTGTACAGAACCATTAGACACCCACTTATCTTTCTTAATACAACTGTGCTGAGCTAAGCAGTCACCTTTCCAAAGACCTAACTAATATGATTTTATTTCTTCATAATTTGTGAAATAGATTTGGCCTGACCTAAGAAAGAAGAAGTTTCCTCGTGAATTTGAAAACACCTGTTTTGATCAGGTAGATAACTTTGTTTTTACTTGCTGATTTCAAAAATCATATATCTGTAATCCCATTTGTCGTTAAACTGGTGTGTGAAGTTTGTTCTTGGAATGTGACCCGTCCCCTGGGGGAGCGGTGAGCTGCAGACATGGCCCCGCTCATCTGGTGGTTTAACTCCCCAGTCGACCCTTCTAATGCTCAGTGTCAAGCGTCGGGTTCCTGTTTTAGTCTTTGGTATGACCCACAAACTCCCAGTCTCGGGGTGGACACTCGTACCACTAGCCCACTGAGCTTGTATATCATTAAAGATAATGGTATTAAATGAGAACACGGTCGGTGCACAAATCTAAGTCTTTATTTCTGCTTTTCAGTACATGATAATCGAACGCCTGCTGTGTAAAAACCCACAAGAGCGACCTGAGGCATCTGAACTCCTGTCCACGCTGAGCCCAAAGGAGAATATCTACAAGACTTCTTCATGTACAAAACCCCCGAGTGATTCACTTCCTTAAGATCAGAGGAATCTCAGAGGGTTAAAGGTCATGATCTGATTCATTTGATAACTTTTGTTTTTGTGCTGCTTTTCAAAGATGTTACTGTAAATCCTGAGCATTCCAAATAAGGAAGTAAAAGTAATGAATGACAAGGTTTGTTTAAAAAGATGCTTTTTTATGCGAATATCATGTTTTTAACAGCTGGTATTTTATTTCCAGCTGAAACCGGTTTTGCTTCCGGATGTTCCAAATTTTTATGTTCCTGAACAGAGTCCGCGTCATTTGAGTTTGTGTATCTGCTGATACCAAGTCCAGATCTGGTTCTTCAGTGATGTATAAGAAGAAAAACGGAAAATACATCCAAGTTGACTTTAAGTATTATTTATTATGTATTTAATTAATTTATTTGCCAGAAAACATCACTAATTCAGGTAGTACACGTGATTGGACTGGAGCATTCCTAGTTTACCCCGTGACTTAGTGATGTTGCACTTTACCCTTTCGTCGTTCATTTTAATCAGATTTTACTGGTCAGTCCAAATACTTAAAGGAATGCTCATTTAAATCATACTTTTATGTGTTACACTTGTGATGTTCATGCCTCTAACAAGTGCCCTTATGCTAAACACTTCAATAATAAAAAATGCCCTTTAAAGTTATTTTATATTTAAGAATCTGCTAAATGTGTCCAGGAGTTATGAACTTGTATTTTACAGTGTTCCCGTTGAAGATCACTTAACCTAAATGTTAACTAAACTGTCAGAAACACAGTTCAACTGTTGTTGGAAAAGTCAGAAGGATGTAGTTTTCAGTTGCTCAAACTGTAACCGAAATGTATTCTGATCAGCTAATCCAAGACAAACTTGATCTGAAAGTTTATTTTCAGATTTGTGAACTCATCGAAATTTGACGTTATGTAAAAGGTTGTTTCTTATATTTTGTAAGAATGTTTTTTTTTTCTGAAAGGTTTGAAAAGAGCAAAATGTTTATAAAAATAACTTTTCTATGTCATTTCACTGTAATTTTCAACTGTTAAAACATTGATGCAAATGTTTGGAATTGTATTTCATAAACAATATGAATGAATCTGATATGATTAATGATGTTATTAAGTTTTACACAAACGCACATGTACAACACAACTCTCTCTCTCTCTCTCTATACATATATACATATATATATATATATATGTATATGTGTAGCATTCAGTCAATATCGAAAAGGCCAGAACTGATGGTGAATGATGATTTATTGAGCCGTCCGTATCATCAACCAACCAACGTAAGAGCTAGGCATAAACAAAAAATAAATAAACCATAATGCATAACTGATTACATTGGTGGCCGTTTTCACAATTAATACAATCATATAGACACGTTCCGTTTTCATAACAACATTCTGAATTATAGTTACAAACCTTGTTCCCCTTATCAACTGAAGCTAGACAGAAGTATTCTTCAAACTTTCTTTGTCTTCTTCTCCGTGAACTGTTAATAGCCTATCCTTTGCTCCGTCTTTACTTCTAATAGATTTCCGTTTGCTTCTTCTGTGTTGCGCCCGTTGCGCCTCCTTACTTGGCTACGGTTGATATGACGCTATCAAAATAAAAGCCTGTATACCTTTGCCGTTGTTAAACATAAAGAAATAGTTCACCTTTACATTCACCTTTACAATATGTATATATGTATATAATATATAATATAGATATTGTAACATCCAGCAATGGTCAGTTTTAGGTACAGTCTGACCTTTCAACATCTGCTCAGAAAGGAGACACAACACTGCATGTGTTCCCTTTAAATGAGCCTTCCTTCATACCAGCTGGGACTCAGACTCTGCAAGTCTGAAAGATAAACAACTTTCTTTCCCAAGGTCCCATCTGGCTGCCTCCACAGAAGGAAGAACTCCAGCTCAAATCAACTGATAAATTCAAGAATGATTTCTTAAATCAATATGAACTTCTTCCATGACTTATAATCTAGATAATCATTAAATAAACATTTGTTTATTACTACTTATAATAAATATAGTATAATGAAATGCTTCATTAATCTTCAGTAATTGTTATGTCCACAAAAATAAACAATAATTAACAAGAGTCTGCTTCTAGACCTGCAGAAAGAGAAAGAATATAAGAAAAAATGGGACACACAACAATACATCAGGAGCAAGCTATCACTGTGTCAACCTGATGATGAAATATAAAATCAACATTAACTGAACAATCACACGATAATAAATCACAGTGCATTTGGTGCCAACCCCAGCCTTAAGACATGTGTTGAACGTTCCCAAGCCCATACTTATGAGAGCACCATGTGAGCACCTGTGTGTGTACACGCGCTTGTTTATGTAAGGGTTCTCTATAGGAGCGTCCAACAGAGAGTGTGAGGGACCACAGATCCGCCCCCCAAAGATGTGTAGGAGACGGGGGGAGCTCCAAGTCCCAGAGATCCAGGAGCTGCCCCAGAACACAGGAACCCCAAGGAGACTGCAACCAGAAAGGCCCCCGCCCCCCTCGAGAGGCACAGAGGATCGCCCCGGGGGGCCACAACCAGCAGCCGGCAGAGTCCCGGGAGATATCAGCGGCAAGCCCACAGGCCCGCTCGCAGCCTCCCACCCCCTAGCCGGCCGAGCCCGGGACCCAATGACCCGGGACCAGGGGCGACCACCCCCGCCGGGGACCCAGCAGAGCCCAGGGACCCAGACCCCACCAGGCCGTCACCGGGATTGGTCAGGCAGGCGCCAAAAATCTTAAACTCCCTGACCCGGGAGCCACGAACACTCAGGCAGACCAAGGCACCACACCCCACACCAGGTGTGGCAGGGAGAGGGGAGACGAAGATCTATATCATCAAAAGAAGTCCCAGGAGAGGGGAGGAGTCAAAGGCCCCACCTGACATATACAGTCATACACAGACACAGTCACACACACCCTCCCTTCCTCATGCTCACACATGCACATACAACCCAAGACTTACAAAAATGCACGCCGGACACCCACTCATGCTCCCCATACACACCCTATTCACTCTGGTCCCGGTACTGCTGCACATGGGGTACAACCATCACTGGTTACCAGAGTTTGACCCTTTCTGCTGGGGTGCTGATGAGCAGGCTCCCCCGCCCAACGCTGAGCACAGCAACCCCAATATTTGTTGTTTGCCTAATTGCTGCCGCTAGTGGTTCGATAAAGATAGCAAACAGTGAGGGGGAGAGTGGGCATCCCTGCCTGGTCCCCCTCTGAAGACAGAAGCAAGCTGATATTTGGTATTCTTTTCACCAGAACTCAGCTTATTTGGATAAGGAAGCTCTGACTGACATCGCATTCACACATAGGTTCCTTCATCACGTTTAGTTACATCCACTCACAGTAAATGCTTAATTAATTACTCATGTTTTAATTGTTTGTAAAATAAATTCTCACTTTTATGAACCTGACTCTTGAAATAACACAAAGTGTGGTTGATCACTGAAAAAGCAAAGAACCTGGTTCTTCTGAATTAAATCCTATAATCTTCTGAATAATTACAATAAAGACCTAGCAGGTTAATATTTTATATTTATATAGAATATTACATCTTCCTGGTCATAACAAATAAAAATCATCGATTTGCCTACACTACTATATCTATATAGATATCAATATCTATATAGATAGACATCTATATAGATATCTATAAACATATTTAGATATATATCTAAATGTGTAATTTGTCAAATTTACTTTAGTTGTTTTTTTTAGTCCCACTTGTCATAAAGCAGGCAGTGTTGCTGCTTATTCTGATGCTGAATATCAATAAACTAGATGTCAGGTATTTTATCACAATTGAAAAGCTTCAGTTTATATTTACTCACAGTGCTTTTTAGTTGAGAAGTAGCTATTTCAAAGAGGTTTTTTTAAATAAGTGATTTACAGTACAGCAAGGCACATTTCATCATTTACTTTTTAATATTTGTTTTGTGTGACCAATTGAGAAATGATAAATATAAATATCTGACATTAAAATGACCAAAACGTCTCCTAACTATAAATTTTAATAAAAGAAACTAAAATCTATAAATATAAAACAGATGTGTTGGTAAATTAGACTCTTGGCTGCTATTCATAATTTGGCCAGTAGATGTAGCTGTTGTTCCACTGAATATGCCTGTGTGTGTGTGTGTGTGTGTGTGTGTGTGTGTGTGTGTGTGTGTGTGTGTGTGTGTGTGTGTGTGTGTGTGTGTGTGTGTGTGTGTGTGTGTGTGTGTGTGTGTGTGTGTGTGTGTGTGTGTGTGTGTGTGTGTGTGTGTGACATTTAATCATGCCTCCAGCACACGCAGCATGATGAGCATCTCTGTGGAAAACACCAGCAGTCCCAGTAGCCAAATACAGGATCTCACACAGACAGCAAGTCCCAGGTAATCAGCACCAATCGGCTCTCGCAGCTCAGAATGTGCCTCAACAATCACAACACTACAATAAACCCTGAAATTTGCTAAGCTCCCACGGAGTGAGGCCACAAGCGGAGCCACTGGCTGCATGGAAACAGGTAGATTTTAGTCCCAGTTCTGGCCAATCATAGTTTTTTATTATTATTATTGCATGAAAAAATTAGCAACTGATCTAGCCGCTCATTTAGGAACATTACGTCTAAGTTTCTGTTAAATTTAACCTACAAATCAACCGACTCCTGAGGAGAATATGTGGCTCTCGTTATGGTCAAGTGGGAAAAGGATGAAAATCACCAAAATAGTACAAACTTCATCCTTCAGGTAAATCTAGGTAAACATTTAAAAACAAAGTAAATGAAATCAGCGGACTTCTTCTCAAATTGAAAGTTCTCAGTCCGATCTGAGCCGTGTGAGACACTGAGTCACTCTTCCCCTGACGTTTGCTCCATCAAAACAATGTTCTCTCATTTTAGCAGTGTATAAGATAAGAAGCCTGGTGTGTTTCCAATCCTCTGCAGCTGTCGCGCTCCTGCGAGCAGGGTTATTGGATGCATTGAGGTCACTTCCTCTGAGAGCAGCGTGCACTGAGGCAGAGCTCCTGGTCAGTGGCACGAACCACGTATCCGGGGGTAAAATGGACTCACCAGTCAGAGTGTCTGCCTACGGTCCCAGGGGTGGTGAAGGGCGATTACTCGGTGCACGGGCTCATCTCTGAGGCAGCAACCAGTTTGTTTTGTGCTGTTTTAGGAATCCGCCTCGCCCAGCAGCAGACCACAACACCAGAAAGGGAGAGTTTAGTGTCAGACAGGGCTGTTATCCTCCCTGCCTTTACTTCGGTTACATTAAGACCCACTTAACTTCTGGGGAACTGCGGCTAACTGGAGCATGAGCGCATGCTGCTCCTCGCCCCGGGCCTCTTTTGGCTTTTCCACTGGAGTTTCCACCTCTCCAGAACCACATCCTGTCGCTGTCCGTCCCACTTCAGACCAGCTAGTGTTGTTTAAAAGCTGCCATCAGACCTTTAGGAGGTTAGATCTATTTCTTCTCCTCGTTTTATCTCTCTAGAAGATCCCCTGCTTGAGTTGTTCAGTTATTATTGTGTGGTGATGCAGTTTCAATGCTCCTTTGTGCTTTTTTTACTCTAATAAATGTTGAGTCGATGTATTTTTACAACAGTGTGAAAAGGATGCTGAATCGCTGCTCCAGGACCAGATTTGAAAGCTATCCAACTTGCTCCTCTGGTAACTTTGCTTCATCAGGAGTTATTTTTGATCAGCTAGATCATTTAGAAATCTGAGTTCACTTCCACCAGCAACACCCAGACCTAATCGCTACGAGTCCGACCTGCCAGACTCCTCCTCTGTTTAAATCTACACAGAGAACTTCCCAAAAGGAAGCATGGGGCTGGCTGGTCAGGCTAGATCATCTCCAGATCTGTAGAATTAAGAAACCTGTGACAACATGAGCTGGGCCAAAAGATCTCGAGAAGCAACACAGCATGCCCCGCTCTAAAGAAATCCAAGAGCAGAAGAACAACATCTAAAGCCCTGCCGGCCTCAGATGGTCATGATTAAATAATAAGAATGAGATGAGAGGAAGACATGGCACCATGGGGGCGTTCCAAGGCCAAAAGCGCTGCTGACCAAAAACAACTT